AATAACATTTCAATTTTATAGTTGGCAGAACTAAGTATATTTACACAAGTAGGAACAAAATCTTATCTGACAAGTAATATATTTTATTACACAATGTGCCTTACCGTCGTAAGAACATTTTTAGTCATTACAACTGCATTAGATCAAGACTTGTGAAAACTATGTTGGTTTTAAACACTGTCCTTAAATTGTTGTCTGTATAATACAGGACATTAATCACGCTCTTGATGCTGCCTTAAATGAAAATTAACGAGCTCTGAATTTAAAGTGGTATTCATACAGGAGGGAATCATTTCACGAACAACACTCCCCACTTCTCTTATTTAAGTTGTACGCCTCTCAACCTGACGTTTCAAGCCAGAAGAACTTCATTGGTGTCAAGTGTGCGGACCAACTTGGTCATTCAATGGGTCCCTAATGTCCAATCCGTTTAGCCAGGAAAGTTAGTTTTATCGAGCGAACTTTGCTTTAAGCAGTACAAAATGTGAAAGGGAAAATTTACCTACCATTCATCCCAGCGTATGTGTTGCCAAAGTAGTTGTAACGTTGTTGTCTTGTTCAAGGAAACACAATAGATCATGGAATGAAGGTTGGCTCTGCACTGTTTTATGGAGTACATTTGATTCATACGTGGCTGACAAATACCTGAAGTCTTCGTTACATAATAGCAAAAATGGGAATCTCTTGGAAAAATTTGTGGACATACTTTTCTTTAAATTCCTCCATATGTAGACATGGTTGAACAAAAACAATAAATTAATAATTATACAGTTTACTTCAACCTTTTAATAGAATGCTGCTACCACAATTGTCAAATATGACCACAAAGGCGATACACCTGCTGTGTTGGTGGGCTAATTCATAGCATTTAAAACATACTTAATGAATCTGTGTAGAATATTTATAACTAGTTTGGTGTAAAAAATTGTGAAGTGCGTGATATATTACATGAATAACATCGTATAAAACAATATTCAAACGGCACTACCAGTTATTCGAAAAATGTCTAATCGCGGTAAAACGTCTATTTAATGGTGTGATGATTACTGTATAGATCAGTTGTAAAAATAACACCTTCAAGTGTACAACTAACAACGTACAAACATTTACACTGTGTTAATAAATCCTTTGTTTCTTTCAAGGCATGTTTTTTATGCTCGCTGAACCTCCTCTACTTAAGTTGATCTCTAGAACATTTCTTTGTTAAATTGGGTACCGCGTATAAAATTAATGTAGGTCTACAAAGTTACGGTAGTCATCTTTATAAGTTCGAAAAAATGGAATTTAAAACATAAGCAAAAGTTAAATCTGTACAAATTACCAATAAGGCTAAGCTTTAAAGACCCATGAATAATTTTAATTGACGCAAAATAATTTTATAATGCCCAAAAAGTAAGGATATTGTATTCCAAGAGAAACCCCACGTTTTAAAGCTAACACTAAATATGGTTTCACCGTTGTAAGTATAGTGAAAGTAAATTTAAAGCGACGTGCATACGAACTTTTTCAAAGTGTGTTAAGTTTCTTAAATTTTTAAACAGTAACGGAGCACCAAGTTTTAGATCAAAAGACATGAAAGGGTCTATCCAGGGGACATCAAATGTTCAGTAATCATTAATTAATGTAGAGATTTCAGCATGATTAAATTTATTTTTAAAAGTATAAGTGTCTTTTCCGAAACATACTGAGTAATATTGGCCAACGGTGAAATAATAAGAGTATACTTCAAAATACTGGAAGAAAGATTAACTTTAACGTATTTAACAGAAAAGTTCCACATGAATTAGCAAACTCTAAACAAGTTGATATAAAATTGGAGACGCATAAAATCCTGTTTCTTAAACTTAAAGAATACGTTTGTAACAACCACTTTAAGCAAGAAATTTTGCGTATTTCCCTTCGAAATGTCTTGAGAATCTACGGTGAGAAAGCCAGTTCTAGGCAGAAATCAGCATGCTTACAGTTAAATATGACACGACAAAAAGTCTTACGTTTCTGAAACCGAACCAAATACTGTCGGTATCAAAGCCCCTCTACTAAGGTCGTGGGATAACTTTCAGAACCTAACGATGTGGAATTTCATCTTTACCCAAAGCACAGGGAAGTACAGTTATAATCTTTCTTGCACCACATACGTTTCCACGCAGAAGATTCTCACAGACATAAGGAAACTCACGTTCCTTGGGCGAAATGGAAGGCAACATCAGGAGCAGCAGCAGCCTGGTCACGTGACTTTGCTAACGTCAAAAGGCGGTGGAGAGGGAACGTGGAACGTAGAACGTAGAACGTAGAACGTAGAACGTAGAGATAGTTTGACTGAACCCTCAACACGGTAGGTTGTATAAAAACTGTTTTCATCACCGGTTACACAGAGATCTAGCTTCATTGGTGTATGTTTTTGACATGCAATTAGCTTCCATCAATGGCGCTGAAGCTTCACAGCTTGAGCTGGTAAAATGGCTATACAATACAGCTCACAGTTTCCATCATCCTTATTATATAATCTTATATGATTATATTACATTACATTATTAGCCTATATTACATTGCAGAGATTTAAGAGCGAGATAAGTCTTAATTTTCAAGCCCAAACGACCACAATTTTGAAGATAACTACAAAGTATGATGCATTTAACTGAAGGTGGCTTCTTATTTAGTTTCATTTATGGTTTATTAAACAACGCTGTCAGTAGCTCTCATCATACGGCGTCGAAAATCAGCTCCTATTTTGCACAACATACATTATCCCGATTAATCAGATGTGCAGACAATGATCAAATGGCTGAGTTTAAATTATTAACAGTTCGTGTTCGAGAAGTGTTAACTTCGAATTTCGGCCAAGAGACCGACTATCCTATCAAATGCTTAGACCAGTGGTATTCAACCTTTTTTGTTCGCGTACCCTCAGATATAATTTCTCTTCAACTTTGTACCTCCAAAGTTGTTGGTGTATAATTCAAGTTATGCATAGTACATAATCTACATCTTAAATAAATTAAATAAATTACATTACTGATTATTCAGTGTTTATCATAAAATAATATATATTTTGTTAAATTTCACGTACCCCCTAAGATGTCTTCGCGTACCCCCGGGGGTACGCATACCCCAGGTTGAATACCACTGGCTTAGACGACACTAATTCCCTCCACATCATATTCAACTCATCATTCATAATTCTAACGAGGGAATGAGCTTTCATAATAACAGTGTTAACCCGACTAATATTATGAAAATATAAAAATAAAAAGTCTTCTGTCTTACTTTCATGATACAATGGTATGCCATGCACTAAACACAACAGAACCGATCAGATAAAATACATCATTAGTCGGCTCCAGCCTGACCTTATTAGCCAGCTAGTTGAGGCTTAAACTCGCCTTCCTTCTTTACACGTCTGAATGGCGTTCGACTTAATGCACATTTGTATCAACTGATCTCTGTGTCTTAATCTGTGCAGACCGAAAATAACACTGCAAGGCGCTTTTAGACAGAAAAACACTCCTGTCCCTCTAGCAGATGACCTAAATGAACTCTGGGAAGGACAAATCAAATATCCCGATGTTGTTCTGGAGAACCGTGTAAAAGCGGGTTTCTGTCTGGATCAAGAGTAATATCGACAGTTACAAAGGAACAAATATTGGTCGAATTCTACTCGGTCGCCAAAGGCCTTTCGTGGGAAGTATGTCAAGGCTCTACCGCAGTTACAACGGCAAGATAAAACAAAATATGCAACACAGGTTCAATGCACCGTATTTCCAATGAAAAATAACCATACACTTCATCGAGAATCTTCACTTCACCTTTATGATCAAAATTAAGTGATTTTTCCCCCCATTCTTTCGGCCAAAGTCAGCTGACGATTCTACACAAATGCAGGTGCTGCCATCACCAACACCGATTTTAAACGCTCATAAGCAAGGATAGCCATGGCCAAAGCAGCTTTCGTCAAGAAGAGGATACTTCTCACTAGCAAGTTGGGCTTGGAGATGAAGAAGAAACTAGTGAAGTGTTACGTATGGAGTGTCTTTGAAATGTGGTGTTGGAGAAGAATAGAGAAGATCAGGTGGACGGATCGAGTGACCAACGAATAAGTATTGAGGAGATTCAACGAGCAAAGAAACATTCTGCAGGCGATTACACGAAGGAAAGCTAACTGGCTGGGACATATTGTGAGAAGGAATGGATTACTGAGTGATGCCATCGAAGGCCAGGTTGAAGGAAAGCGAGGACTGGGAAGACGACTGATACAGCTAACTGACGATCTCAAACAAGGAAAGAAGATGGAGTTTCAGGATTTAAAACGAGAAGCTGAGAATAGGGAAAACTGGAGAGTTCTTTTTGGGCAGAATAATGGACCTGACGTCAGGCAGGACACTAAATAATAATAATAATAACAAGCGAAGTTCATAAACAGCACAGTACAACAGGACCCAGGGGAAAACATAATTATTAACAATCACGTTTCGCTTATTTAACGACATTCATCTGTGTAAGTTATATAGAGTATAATAAATCATTACGTATGATGAATTGGTAAGGATGGGAAAGGTGTCGATCATTAACATTTGCCTGGAAAGAGTTGAACGAAAACAGGAAAACATCTTGGGGCAGTTGTTTAGTTTTACGTGCCATCTGTACAGCATTTTGAAGCGCTTTCCTCCGGGAAAGAACTCCGGTTCCCATTGGGTATGAGGTTGGGTGAGTCCCCGTCGGGGATCGAACACCGGTTGTCCAGTCCGTAGCCAATCACATTTCGACTGAGCTACATCGGCTCACATGGACAAATGTGGTGTTGCAAATATGTAGAGTACAATGCAGCCCACCCACCTATTTGTACGCTGTATACTGTCTGTGCAAACGATACGCCCTAATCATCGCGAATGGCCAAGCCACAATTATTCTTATATTTCCTGAAATAGGAGAATGGACACAGTGAAATGCGTGCTTTCGGTAGAAGCACTTTAGGTAACTGTAGGAAATACAAGCAGTTAACTCACCTCCAAAACCCCCAAAGGCTGTAAGATGCAAACAACGGGAGATGGTTTCAACATTCTTCACGTCCTTGTAGTATTTAACACATTTATTCTGACGATATAGTCACTTATTTGTAAACGCAATTCTTTCAGCTGTACACCAGTTACACACCCCGCACGAACTAAAACGTCTGGTTCAACATCCCACTAATCACAGTGTCGGTACAGCTGACAAACTAAAATTACTAACCACCTACGCCCGCCAACATAATAGTAGTTTGATAAATAAGTGTACTTGTAAATAAATGACAGTCACGATTCTATATGTAATAATCAATACATATACACACACAAAACGAGAAATAATTTCGAACGTGAATACCTCTTATGCACATGCACTTCAAAACGTACAGTTGGTAACAATGCCACATGCGGGGCGATAACAAGTTATGCAGCAGATAATTTTCGTTAATATCTGTAACAGACAGCACTGCATTTATTTAAATTGCGATTTAAAACTGCACATATTACAAGCACAACGCCTTCACATCAACTGTCACACGGACGACGAGGTGTGGTGAAGCGAGGCTACGTCCACGCACTACAACCTAGAAAAACGAAAAGTAACTATCGCATTACCGGAGCAGAGCTCACGGTGACGAATACTATCGTTGGGTCACTTTAAGCGTACTAAATTGGGCAATACCAACTACGAAATCAGTGTGCTCCTGTTACCCGCGACTTCATAGAGGGTTGGTAGCTTATTATAAATAATATATAAATATATTTAATTATAAACTTAAATGGTATTGAAGATAACTGTCTTGGGTTGTTGCGCCGTCTAGTCTGATAGAAGTTTATCAACGTTTCAGACGTGCTTTCTGCCTCCATCATCAGGTTAACAAGTCATAAGACAGCCAACTGCATACTCGTCGACGTGAAAACCAGATATCTCACTGAAGTAATAATATTAAAAACAGTAGTATAACAATTACCTTCCACCACAGTTAAAAGTATCATAAAATTCAACATCTGTTATCTCCCAAATACAAAGCTAACTACTCATTTGCGACATTTGGTTCCATATGTTAAACTGTCATCGCCCTGACGATGGAGGCAGGAAGCAACTCTGAAACGTCTGTAAACTACTACCATATACGGCGCAACAACCCAAAATCATAGCCATCAGATACACAAATACATTGCATCCGATATACGTATGAATGGTTTAATGTTATCATGAAATGGTACTACTGTTTACCACAGTCTATTCTACGAATTCTCTTATTCCGTTGTGAGGGTGACTGTCACATAAAAGACAGTGTTCTGAACTCACACCATGCGCTGACACATGTCACAGTAGCCTATTGTGCCTCGACAATGATATTGTATTACGTAGTTAAACAGCAAGCCTGTCACTAACCTGTTAAGTTCAGTTGACGGTCTCATAGCACTTCAGGCAACTTCCGAACACTTATTAGGACCTATTGTCCGCGTCAGTTTACTTGGTATCTGACTTCGTCTTGCCTCTTTACGAAAAGGTTCATACTACAGGACGCCAAAACAAGAAATCACCGGTCATAAAACATCTTGTTCCATTGTACACTTGCATACTGTACGTAAAACGTAGACATTTTATTTTGGATAGTAGGACTGATATGAGCATGCGCATAGCTTGACATAACAATCTCATTTCCTTTTGGCCCAAGTTCTATCAGACGCCTAGTTAAGTGGCGCGGACAATAGTTCGGTACGAAACAAACATATCTCTGAAGGTTAATCTCGTTAACTGAGAATTTTCCGTGCTTTCTAATTTAAGTTTGATACATCCAATAAACATGAAATTCAAAAAATTTATCAGTAATGATGACTTCTGACATGCAGTGCTCCAAATTCTGGTAATTCACCGCCAATCTTTCACAGGCTTACAATTTTGAAGCCATAAGTCACTTCAGTCCTCTGCTGAGACTGGAAAGGTATCTGTAGTCCAGACACACGGCGAACGAGGTGGACACTCAATTTGTCATGCCACCCCTCCCTCAACGCATTCAAGCCAACGCCGTTACTGTTATTTAGGAAAAGACCACAAAAGCTGCTCATCTGAAATGAAGGATTTGCATTGCGGTCCCGGATACCGAACAGAACAACTCGGTCATCAGGAAAGAGCAACACCATAAGCCTTCTGAGTTTTAGAATGTCACATTAATTTTGTTGGCATACATAAAAAACCAGACAACGCGGAGCTGTAATCTTTTTCAATGCACCACAAATTGTATACAATAACAAAACATATGGCTTAGGTTCCCAGCGAGGAAATGATGAAGGAAAGAGACCCATACATTGAATAAAACATGGAGGAAAACGAATGATTTTAATGTTATTTTTTTAATGTTTTACATTTCGTTTTTAAAGCTGTTCGTATAAGAAAAAGACTTGAAACAACACATTTGCGAACTGCATAGGAGGAGGATTTAGAAAGCCGACGCGAAATATAGAACGTACTTAGAATACGTGCCGACACAGAGGAAGACAAGGACCAAGACCTCGGTGGCACATGCATCTACTGCCCAAACCAGGTCGCAAAAAGAAATTGTCACTTCTGTTTTGTGTTTCTAACGATAAGGTATGGGTTGTGTTTCAGAGGATCTCTGTTCTCTTTCAACAAAAATGCCTCAGAGTTCAATAAATTTTAACCTTCGTAATAACTCGGTGCTAACAATACCAGCTGTTTCAGAATGGGAGACTACGATCAAAAAATAATATGGAAATAATATATAACATACCTAAACTAATAGATGAGAAATGTGTATGAAACTTTAGACGCAAAATCTAAGAGGCCAACAATCACTTGGAAGGAACGTGCCTAGATCGAAAAGAAATGTTAAAACGGACCTAAAATAAATAGTAGGTATGTGGGAAGCAGATTGCATTAATCCGACCAAGGATATGGACGCGTTGTGGGCTCTAGTGAGCAGGGTAATAAACCTTTGACTTCCATAAAAGACAGAGAATTCTTTCATATCCCGAAAAGCAGCCCAAAAAGGACATACCGAAATTTGCGGTCGAGTTATTAGTTCTCCTACTTCGTATTCCGAAAGTCGCGGGTTCAAATCTTGTCTCGAAAACCAACTAATCTGACTGAGGTTTTCGGTGGTTTTCCTCAGTCCTTCCAGGTAAATATAGGGATTTTATCTTAACTTAAGCCAGGACCGCTTCCTTCCACATCCTTTCATATTCATTTTTCACTATCCACATTCACGTTAGACGCCCTTTTTGTCTGAGCTATTGACTGCATCACTCATAAATAAACAAATAAATGTTGACGGCTTTGCTCCATGGAGAAAAACTTTGTCAACCCCGGTTGACTAAACGGACAGACAGCCATCTA